GCATTTAGAACTTTGCTGCTGACGCATCACGACGCGCGAGATTGGATTCAATTCCATTAAGAAGTAAAACTTGCCGCGACCCAGAAAAATGTATTCCGCAGATTTATTCGCGCGACATCCCGACTACAACAACAACAACTACTACTACTACTACTACTACTACTACTACTACTACTACTACTACTACTACTACTACTACTACTACTACTACTACTACTACTACTTAGTGCGCTTCGTGCCGCAAAGACTCGCGCTTATCAATTAGCGCAGTTTCGTCCGTCGGAATTGAGGCCTCTCCCGTAAATCTCGCGTGTTTGGCACCGGCTCGTATTAATTGCGCCCACATCTGCTTCTTCTGGCAAGTTGTGTATGTCGGTGTATCCCGAGGAAAAAAGTGATTCCAAGGTTCTTTAAAAGAATTCTCGAATGTGAAAAATCGCGTTGCGTGTGCGCGTGAGGAAAATTTTTTCCGGCGTTTCCGGGCACTTTCAGAGCGAACGTTTTAACGTTTTGACAAAGTTCCGACGTATTTACGAAGTTCCAACCGTGGCTATTGTGCGCCGACCGAATATTGTCAAAATTCACGCGTCGATAAGCCCTTTATTTATTCATTCATCGCGATTACAATCTGCGAACAACGGTACCAATCGGCGCGGTTTCCCGTTTGCCGCCGCAATTGTATCGCCTCGTTACTTCTATTTGCATCAACACGCTGCAAAATATCGGAATTCCCGCTGTGTCGGGTGCTGTGAGCTCTGCCAAACGGCGCGTTGTAACTTGTCGCTACGGAGAGAGGGGGAGGAGCGAGAGAGCCCCATGTATACGCTCTTTTCGCTTTTGTATTTTCTACTTTTGTATTTTCGCGATTACGCCAAGCCCGTTAGTTTAATTTATACAAAAAGTCGGGAATTTACCGCTACGGCCGAAGAGGCGACTCGAATGATGACGATGACTCCCGTGATAGACTCGCATCACGTCTTCCCCGGCTTTCTGTTCCTCTCCCTCCCTCCCTCTCTCTCTCTCTCTCTCTCTCTCTCTCTCTCTCTCTCTCTTCTTCTTGCTTATCGACGACGACGGTCTCTCGCATTTCGATTCTAAATATTGCGAGACGTCGGCGTTATCGCGCCACGGGCGACTTTTATCTTTCGTCGTCGTCCCCTTGAGCGTAAAGGTCAGCGACATGCGGCCGGATCGGATCGGGATCTTCACGAAAAACCGTTAAGCTCGTTCGGCTGTGCACCCGTGACGAACTCTGCTCGTGGTTGCGCCTCATCTTCGCGTGATGCAGCATGCAGCGGGTTAAGATGCGCTCCTTGCGCTCCTCTCTCTCTCTCGCACGCGCGCACGTCATCATTTTTCGGAATAATCCCGCAGAAAGGAGAGAAAATTGTTGCACGTGCCGCGTCTTTGCCGTTGCGTGTGTGATATCGATAATTCATCAGAATTTATTGCGACACGCGTGCCTGTGTATAAATATTGATTGTGTCGCCGCGTATAAGACTCGAAGGAGGAAGCACTTTAGACCCGGGTGATAAGCGAGTTTAGGAATTACGACGGCAGATAATGGCTGTTGACAAACTGTCGGCTAAGCAAAACTTGGCGCGTTCGTGCGAAGTCTCGTTTTCAAATCCGACCGTCAACGTGTACGGTGTTATCGCACACTTCGGTTCACAATCGTGAACGACTGCGAACGTGCGGCCGTTTGCGGAGGTGGACTTTTTGCCCGGAGAGTCTGCTCGTGCGAGGCCCTGAGGAGAGCGGGATATAGCGAGCGCGGCGAAATTTTCAACGAAGATTTCGCGAAAGGATAAAGTCCGCTGATAATTTACAGAGTGAAGGAACACTTGCTCGTCTCAAAGGATAATTGCGGCAATATTTGCGTCTTCTCCCGCCCACGTGAGTGAGTTTTGACGGTCTTCTCAGTACTAGGCTACTATTAGCAGCTGCCAGTTTCCAGTACTGACGCAGTACCGGCTGACAGAATCTTGGCGCCGACGACCGGCTGCCGTAGATCTGTCGATCGTTGGTTCCGTTGTGACTCCGCAACTGTAGCCAGTTGCTAAACATCGATCGGTCGTCATCGTTGTCGCGGAAAAGAAAGGTCGGCTGAAAATCGAGCGAAGAATTCGCGGATCGAAGCAAACGCCTTTTTCGACCCGGCGTGGCAACACTCCCTCCCCCTCCCCACGTGCAGGTTCCATTTCCTGCACGGGCCATGCGCTTCCGCGGGGCTCTATGAACTCTCGGCGGAGCTGTTCCTGTTGATCAAATTGTTTCGCTCGCTGACTCGTCACGCGCTCGATTAATAGTGACGCGATTAACAACTAGTCATAATTAATGAATTAACCGGGCTCGTCGCTTCTCCGTCGCGCGGGAGCGACGCGACATAATCGAGTTACGCGCGGCTATTTATTCGCGCGGGGCCGCCGCCGCCGCGCTCGCATGAATGCTGACGGTGGGAAATATTCGCGTGCTTTCTCAATCGCTTTAATCGCGCGCGCTGATCGACACGTCGGCGGCCGCTCGCCGAAAAGGAGAAAGACAGAGCAAGTCGTGCATGCCGTCCGCGTCGCTCCGACACCGACGAGTGACTCTCTCGCGGGCATTCGCGGAATATCGCCCGTATCGTCGCGCCCGATAAAATTCGTGTCTACTTATTCACGGCTCGAGCCGATGAGCTATCGATAAGAAACTCTAGCGAGAGATTATCGCTAACGTAATCGCGATTGTATAATCCCGCCGTTATCCTTCGCGCACTTTCTCTCCTCTCCTGGCCCCACCGCGCGAGTGTCCGCGCGGTACACGCGCGGCTCTCTTTTATTTTCAGCGCGGGAAGTAACATTCGGCGGCGCGCATATACAGAATGCCGAATGAAAGAGAACGAGCCGCCGTCGCGCGGTTACGTTCGCATGCCGACAAGGTCTCGTTCCTTCGACCGGAGTCCGACGAGCGACGGCCGGTCGGCCGCCAAATGAAAGCGCGCGCGGCGGCGCGTTGCTCGCGAGTCGCGCGTTCTAATCAACCGCCTCGGTGTTGCTTATCGGCGCCTTCTTTTCACGTTGCCGCGCTCTAGTCTAGCCGCGGATCGCGTTATCGCGCGGCGGCTCCGTTAATGACGGCGAGAAAAAGCGCCGAGGCCGCGATTTCGTATCGCGCGAATTGTGGCACACCATGCCCGCGTGTGCGTGCGTACGTGCGTATACACGACGCATGTACGTACATACAAAAGTACACGAACACGCAACGGTATCGCGAGCTATCGGTCCGGATACACCGGAAGCTATCGCCGTAATCGCGCGCGACGAACGCTTTTTCGTTATCGGAATATCGGGGAGAGAAAGGAGAGGAGAAACGAGAGAGAGAGAGAGGGGGGGGAGAGACGCCGAAGCGAAGTGAGTTGTAGATTAGCAGTTTACAATGCTGGTCGATAGCGGGATATTTTTAGTCTCATTAATGTGTGTGCGCGATTTGTCCTCGAGCGGAGTGAAAAGCCGAGGGACGACGAAGGAGAAAGGACAGCGAGCCTAAAATAAAAAGAAACGGGGTGTGTTTATACCCCGGCTCGGGCTGCTCATTAAATTAGGCGCGGCTCGGGTTGTTCGTTTAGCGCGATGATTTTCGAAATACATGCGTTAAAAAATTAGGTTCTCGTTCACGGAATATAGCGTGGACGTTATGGGGAGAGGAGATAATAAATAAGCGGAGTGGAATTTTCGCTTAAATTCCAGCGATGGTAACATAATCAAATCGAGAGAGAGAGAGAGAGAGAGAGAGAGAGAGAGGGAAGGGGAGGAAAAAAGAGAGAGAGAAGGCATTGTGAATTAAAGTAACCGAGATAGCGTTCCGTAATCGCTCTCCACGCCCGTCTCTAGCGGAGCCAGGGAGTAACGTTTGGTACATGTATCTTTTTTCTCGCACTCGCGGTTCTCTAAAGCGGCTCTTTATCGCGCGTTTATACACACGCGTGTTTATTTCGGTCGATTTCCGCTCGGCGGTTGCATCAGCAGCCTCGCGCCGCGATAGCGCCGTGGCGTGCGAACCGGGTCGCTCGCACGCGATGGTCTTTCGTTGTCAGAAATACGCCGCGGAGGAAAACGCTTTTTTCTTCTCTCTCTCTCTCTCTCTCTCTCTCTTTCGCTGCCCATCCAGCTAATCGTAACGTTTTAGCATCCTCGCGCGGTGCGGACGTTGACGTCGCTCGAAGTTGATGATCCGCTCGATTCCCGCACTTATTAGCACGTTCGGCGTGAACGCCTATGCGTGCAGTGAGTCAGCCGGTGACAGGATCTGCGTGTACTTGCTGAATTGTTGACTCAAGTGAGATCTAATCGCGCGGACAAACAATCGCGAGAAATTCTAGCAGAAACGAAGACGACTCGTCCTGCTGAAAACTCTCTCGTTTTCGCGCAAACAAGCGAAGGAGACTGCATGTTTTTCGCGGCCGCGAAAGATCTGGATCGTAGTACGATTCGCGGTATTCGTCGCCGATTTATTTTAGAAGACTGCGGGGAGAAAGAGAGAGAGAGAGAGAGAGAGAGAGAGAGAGACACGACGCGCGCACGAAGACGACGGCTCGTGTCGACGCAAAGCAATCGACCCAATTCTGTCGGCGGTTGCATACGAATATTTTTCATCGCGCGCTGATCGCGCCGCGCGCTCTTTGCTCTCCTCGTCGCCGTCGCCGTCGCCGTCGCCGTCGCGCTCGCCCGAGAGTCGCTTTCTTTTCACGCCGCGTTTTCAAGTCGCTTAACAGCTCGATGGCTCGGCTCGTTCAACACACATTCGAGCATTTCCGACGCGTCCGGACAGCTCCGGATTTATCGCCGCCCGCGATATTTTCGCGGTGACTCTTAAAGGGCCCGTTCGAAGCGCAACGGACGCGACGGGAGAATCTTCCTTCTCTTCCTCTTCATTTTCGTCTCTTTCTTCAATGCTTAAGACGTCATCGACGAATCAGCGCAGGCAACGTTAACGCGTTGTTGTTGTTGTTTTCGTTTCAGGCAGTTGCGCGAAGGAACGCTCGAGGAAAACGGCCTACAACATGGTAGCCGGCTGACGTTACTGCCGAGCGTGGAAACCGGATTGCTGGTAAGTTGAACTCTCGTGTCCTATCCGCACGTGGGTATTAATCAGATCAGCCCACTACTGGTGCAATAATGAGTAGTTATCAGCGTGCGATTTTTATCGCGCTTCATTACCGCCGCGGAGACACAGCAGCGCGAGAAGTCCGGCGAACTTCTGTTTGCTCGTCTCTTCCTCTCCGGAGTAAAGGGGAGAAATCGAGGGAATGGTCGTTGAAAATTGGACCGATTCTAATCTATCTCTCCGTACACCGATTACATCGATTTAATCGTCGAAAATACACGTCTCCCTCAATTATATTTTTATTCAATTTCCGCTGCTTTACTTTTCTCACTACTTTCACATTATCGCTGTATCTCATCGATATTTCATGCTGCACGCTGCAGTTTTCCACACAAGACGAATCCTCCCTCGGTTCGCGCGAAAGAATATCTCTGTTATCGCGGCCGAAAACATCCGTCCGCGATTGTAAAACTCGACGGAGATGACTGGGAACGATTTACCGGACATCGGCCGATTACAAATCTTCCTGCCCCGGCGATCTAGTTTTCGTCTGGTCTGAAGCCAATAGAGAGTCACATGATCTAAGTTCTCTTCTCAATTTATCCGACACCGACTAATCTCGCGATTAACGCGGTTCCAGCTGGGGAACCGCACTCCTGCGTGCGTGAGAGCTGGTATAACGCTATTTGTTTTTTTCCATCGCGTCCGCGATCGCACAACCCGGACTTTTTCGCCCGGCTTGGCACTTGGTCTCCTTCCATCCTGGAACCGTTCCCTCGTTCGCTGCCGTTGCTGTCGCCGTCGCAGCAGCAGTGCGGAGGACGCTCGAGGATACCGGTGACTCTCTCGGCGCTCTCGGAGAGAACGTATTGCGGAGAGGCGCGATCCGCGCCACGGACAAACGCCGTTAACTCGCCGGCGTGTTCGCGTATCACCGGGTCACTTGGTTTCTCGGTCACCATATCGTCCCCGACGCCTTGATCATGCCCGGCGATTCGCGGATCTAACGCCGAGCACCTTCTCCCCGCGGTCCTCCGCTGGCTGATTTTCGGTAGCGGGCCGACGAATTAATAATAAGCACGATACGCGGTATCCGTTAATTGCGCAACACAGGCGGCAACACGCTATGACGGGTTACGGTATACTCGATACACCTCGTCGAGCGATTAGCGTCGTCGCTGAAAAGAAACGTCCAAGAGCGACGAATTCGAGTGATTTCCCGCTTACGCATCGAGTGGATTCTCCACGCTGCGAATCGTCGAGTGAACTTTCGCCCGAAACCGACGAATGTCGCGTCCGCCGCGTCGTGTCGTGTCCCGAACTGTTAAAGGAACAAATTCATTCTGATCGATTGATACATTCGCTCGCAGGGAGCCAGATACGAAACGACTATTTCCGGGACATTTTTCAGGCGACGGTTGAAGAAATAGTTGTTAATAGGTTGTTAGAGAATCTTAGTTAAATTTGGAGAGATACAGCGGTAAGACGGCTAAGAGATGCCGCTGTGCACCCGCAACGAACAAATGCGTGTGAATGCGTGTCAGGTACCAGCAGAGAAAAGTTTGAACATGAACCGTGCGATTGTATTTTTTACCGCGCGAATGGCTTCGTTGGCGTCAATTTTCTTTTAAGTGGCACGTCGAAAAATTCAACCATATGAATCGCGATGACCGCGCGCTCTCAGGTTTCTCTCTGGTACCAGTTCGAAACACGAATGTTATGATTATGATTTTGTTGAAATTCTGATTTTTCGGGAAAGAAGACTTAAATTCCTGGGCACGGGACAAGCCTAAGAATTCCAGAACATTCCCGGAAATCCCGGAAATGCCCATCTGTGGCAACCCTACAGCCACACGGAGAGAAGATTGGCCGAATTGGCGCGATGATGGAACAACAAACACGTTGCTCCACCGAGCGAACGCGATTGTTTCGTTGAACGTGTCACGTTGACTCATGAACAGTCTTTTTTCTCCGATCCGAACTCTGTGAGCTCGAGTGAAATGTTCTCACCACCCTTATACGACTCCGAGTGCGGCGATTTTTTCGTCGTCGCTTCGAGCGAATGTTCGCTCGTTTTCAGTGTGATTTCACTCTTGGGAAAAGCTGGAGGGGGAGCAGAAAAACCGCGCGTCGGCTCGAGAAACGCGCGGCGACGCCGGTCTGTCGGAGAAATTGGGGCGCGCGTACGCGCACATGACGTCCGGCGACGAACACGTGTCGCGACGCGGCCCCCGGGTGCGCGCGTACATACAGTAACGTTCCGCAAAGTCTGGCCGAACGTAACGTGTAACGCAATCTGACTTTTAACCGGCCGCACAGGTGCTGCGAGTTCCGCGCGGAACGCCGAGCCGAGGGAAACAAGGTGCGCAGCGTCACGGAAACGGCTCCCCTCTCGCCGTGCATTTCCGCTTAAGAATTACAAGAGGGATCTGTCGTGCGCGTCGACGACGGGACGCGTGTCAGAGGAACATCGTCTCCTCGGCTTCCGAACCTCTCTGTCCAGGTCGACCCGAGAAGCGCGCGGATTCTCGCCCGTTTTTACCGTGCGCCAATTCCGCTGTCAGATCGATGCGGAGCGTTATCATCGGCGCCGGATTCTCTCCGTCTCTCTATTTCGAGTCCTCGCGTTTAGGATATTAAAGTACGCGATCAGCAACCCTTTGTTTTCCGCGCACAGACGCGCATAACGCCGATGATAATAATCGCGTTCCCGCTGGTAATCGCGTTAATTGCTATTGTTACCCGCGCGTCATTAACCGCCGCAATCGGCCCTTTTGTCGCACTTTGTTCGCTCGTATATTGCGAGAGCCATCCGCCAGGATAATTGGTTTGCCATCGCGACGCGAATTTACGGCACTCGCCGTCAGATTCGCGGTTTTCAATCCGATCGACAACGTACACACCGTCGAGGTGCGTATTAATATCGCGCGTCAACGGGATATCCCACGAGTTCCAGCGAGTTGCGCCTAAAAAACAAGTCGCTGGTTACGGGTGTTAAGGGGTTGGCTGGAGCTATCGAAGGTGGGACGACGACGACGACGACGACGACGACGACGACGACGAGGAGCCTTCTCTCATTCGCTCGAAGTCTGAAATTGACTCTGGCCGGCGACGGTGGCGGCAGCGGCAGTGGCAGTGGCCCGGGCTCGAGGCGTTAGCAACAGCGCCCAGCCCGGGTCCTTATCGTGACTGAGACTTGTTCGCATGGCTGTCAAGGAGACCGCCCGCTCGGCTCTCGGTCACCCGCAGTCAATTTTAAAGCGCGCTGCTCCCTGTGTGTGGGTACGCGCGATCGAGCCGGCTGTGTGCGCATGTATATGCGCGCCTCTCCCTTTCTCTCTCGCTCCCTCCTGCGTGCCCTCCCCGTGCCGCCCCCCTCTGCGTCTCTAGCCGCGATTGGTAGTCACCTACACATAGGGTGTCGTGGAATAACGTTCGTGCTCGCGCATTCTGTAATTCGGGTGTCCGATAATTATTCTCCGACGAGTCGAGCAACTCTTTCTCTCTCTCTCTCTCTCTCTCTCTCTCTCTCTCTCTCTCTCTGTCTCTCTCTCTCTCTCTCGATTCTTGTATTTGTTTTCAGATGTGTTTATTTCACATCAGTTAATCGATTACAATCGAGACGTCGTCGGTGTCATTCTCGCGTGTTTGACGCTGGATTCCGATTAATTATTTACCGCCGATGACGGCTCTCGCGTTTCTTCGTCGTAAAAAATTTTCAACCGTCTTTTTCGCAAGTATATTTACGTGTGATTTATGTCCATCGTGGTTACATATCTTCCGACACACCCCGTGAATATCGCTCGTGGGTGGTTACGGGGGGAAGAGGCGAGAGCTAACGCCGGGTTCACACAGTCCCGGCTTCGCCGGAGAGCGCCTCGCGCGATCGAAGAGAGCCTTTCGTAGCGCTTTATCTCGCCGCGTTCCTTTTTTTTTTCTTCTTCCTTCGTCCGAGTCGAGCTCTCTCGACCGGCCGTGTGAGCACGAGAGAGAAAGAGGTAAAGAAGAAGAGGGAGAGGAGCCGGTTAGTTTTTCGGACTTCGTACCACGCTCTCTCGCGCGTCTCGGGGTTCCCCGAAATCACCGTTAGACGTTGGCAAAACCGCAGAATCCATCTCCGCCGCAGTCTGATTAATTTGGTAACTTTCAAACCAGTCCCGACGACGTTTGTATGCATGGTACTCGGTGTCGCATCGCATCGCTGTGTGTCTTCCGCTCGTGCCTCGAGGCTGTGATTGGATTTAACGTCCGAGGAGAACGGCATATTTTTGCGCGAGAAATCGCGAGACGTCGAGGAATTCTCGTGTTTCGGCTGAAATGAGAATATTCACCTCGCCCGGCAGGGGCGATTAGGATTGATTTAGCGAGGCGTACCGCGTCCCGCGCGGAAATAAGAGGAATGTGCACAATGCGGGGACATTTTTCACAGGAGATTCGTTACTCGCATTGTGATTCAGGATTTTTGGCTTATGGATCCTTCCCACCTTCAGTCCCACCCACGTAGATTATATTCGTCGTCGGGTGTCTGCCGATGACTCGAGCACCCGGATTAAAGACGATAGTCTCGTTATGAACGATCCTTTCTACCTGAAAGCACGGCTTTCAGTCGGCGCAGTTGTACGTGTCGTACGGCTAACTACTTTATCCAGTTCCTAGGAACCCGATGTTTGGGCTCGTGACTAAACGACAAACGAGATTATCGCGTTAAGAGGCGCGCGATACACACATACGCATATATATCTGCTTTACGGTAAATTGACTTCGCGACCGAAGATGACCGGCGAGGCCAATCGCGGATCGTCTTCGGTGTGTCGGCTAATTCCGTCGGAAATACACTCCGATGATTGACCGCAATTAACCGCACGATTCGATAGATTATCGTCGCTATTACTCCCGTCAATCGTCAAAACGTTTCCCCTTATTTCCGGAATTTGTATAGCGGAACGGCGAAAATTAATTAAAAAGAGACGTGCGAGTGGCAGATTGGATTGAGCAATTTTTATCCGGAGATGGAAGAGCGAAAAGCGGGATTATTTGCGTGGAAAGAGGTGAAATTCGATGTATAAAGTCCAACTATATTATATTTTTATTTATATCGTATGATTTGACAAAGAGAAGAGAGAGAGAGAGAGAGAGAGAGAGAGAGAGAGAGAGAGAGAGAGAAGAATTATATGAATTCAGTGATAGTCAAATATAAGATAAAAACAATTACTTTTTGTGCAAATTTAATTTTTATATTATTACATAATATATGATTGTCTAATTAAAATGATGGAAAGAAGCGAACAAGAGTTCACCGTTCATTACGCGAGCGATCGTCAGTCATTCGATATAAATAGTTCGATAAAAATGACTCTTGTATCGCTCTTATTATTGCTTTCACTCGCTTCCTAATTGCTATTTGCTTTCAACGAGTGCGTAGGAATTTCTGCGAGCACTTGAAGAAAGGGATCTCTCTCGTAAGTCCGAATGGCTGAGCGCGCAATATCCGTCCGATTTCTTTCTTTTTCCATTGGACGCGGAATCAATTAAAAAATTTATAATTTCAAATTTCCCCCTCTATCTCTTTTTCTCTCGCTCGTTCGCTCTCTCTCTCTCGTTCGCTCTCTCTCTCTCTCTCTCTCTCTCTCTCTCTCTCTCTCTCTCTCTCTCTCTCTCTCTCTCTCTCTCCCCCTTGAAATCTTCTCAAAAGGTAGATCGGAATTCTCGACAATTCTTAAACGGTCCGTCGTAATTTTACGAGCCTCATCCGATCGATCGTTGCGCATCGAGGAAGTTCGCTGTGGGAGACGTCGATTGGGTGCCGGGAGTGGGCCCGATTGGTTAATCGTTTTGCAAGAGCGTTTCACCGAGCGACGAGATCGGCTTGGCACCCGCTGTGTTCGCAAACGAACGGACTCGTCCGATTTCGCGGTGCCAGGCACAGAACGGAATCTTAATTTAGCGCTTAATCTGCAGAATATGTAAATTGAAAATTCTAAAGTTACGAAAGGAGATAGCGTGACCTGTCGAAAAATCGTCGATTCCAACATAATTGTTTCTTCAGATTCACTTCTCGCTCAAATAAGATGTTCCTTCAACGAAATTCCGCGTCATAAATTGCATTTGTTTATTATCACGCATTTTTTCCTCGAGTTCTTCGAGAGAAAGTTCTCTCTTTTTCTCGCGTATGAGATCTTAATGTGACGTCTTAATTGTTATCGAGATTATCGAACCATGCAAACCGTCGCGAAAGACGGGCCTCGAATTGTCCAAACAATCCACAGGTAAAATTTGCTGCATACGCAGACGTTCCGTGTACACACCAATTTTCAAAACGACTCGAACTTTTTTTTGTCTTTTTTTTACTGCTGTTCGCCAGTCGATGAGAGAATTTATTTCCGAGAAACCTCCAAAAAAGTTAAGTTCTCTTTTCGGGCGTTTGCTGCGTTCCGAGTTGCGCCCAAAGAAAAGTACTCGAGCCATTTTGAAGCCCCAGTGTACAACAATGTTTCCTTTTATATTCTCTCGTCGGGCGATTGTTCCTCGCCGGATTTCTCGGCTCTCTGTCAAAAGCGTGCTCATTCGGTGACTCGCGAAGTTCCTGCGAGGACGGGACTTTCCTTCGCGCGAGTTCGCGAATCGAATTACCGAATCCGACGAATGACCGTCCAGCGAAAGGAAGTCCGTTAGGTGTGCGCGCGAGGGATGCCTAACTGGGATGCCCGTCGAGGGTCTGAGCCTCGGTTCCGCGAGGTTTCCTCTCTTCTGCAGGTCTTCTCTCTCGCGTCCTATCTCGCGTCGCGGTTTCATCGATTCGCGCCTCATCTTGCACGAATAGCTCTCATAAAAACGAATGCTCACGGTGCTCGATCGATGCTCGATCGTAAAAAAAAATGTGCAGGGTATCGAAGCTCACGCGGTATGGCTGAACCTTTCCAGGACGTAGATTACCTCGTCGCCTGGCACACGGGTGGCAGCCGATTGAGGACTTAAGGACGGGCGAAGCTCACCAGTCTGAAATTTTATCTTCCTCGTTTAGCGATAAGTGCCGTTATTTACAGCAACGTCATAGATGTATGCGAACGAATGTATTTTTAGCGTTTAGTTAGTACTCTAAGCATGTTGGCGTTACACGCTCGAAGTTACACTTAATGCGCCGATAACCCACTCTGTTGTATAACTATATCGCGACGTAATAAAAATATGACAATTAGTGTAACGACCAATCGCGCCGATCGTGCCTTTTGTTCTCGCCCGTTCGCGTCGTAATGCTTGTTTGTTATCAGGAAATGAACAAACAACTGGTCGACGTGTTAATCAGATGTAGACGTATCTTCCGATAGCAACGAGTCAAGCACATACAATCGTGTCAACGCGCGCTACATACGGCAGCCGTATACGTCGCATCTGAAATAACGATTTCAGATTATGACGCCACTTTTCGTCCATTGTTTCAGGCACAGCGGCCGGAGCAGAGTGTAATGCAAGCCTTGGAGAGTCTCAATGACTCACAGGTGAACGACTTCTTATCCGGCAAGGCCCCGTTGAACCTGACAATGAGATTGGGCGACCACATGATGTTGATCCAGCTGCAGCTGTCGACGGTAACGCCGGCTTCGCCAACTGCTAATCAGGCCGCGAGCTCGCCCGGCAACAGTAACAACAATAATCATCATCACAGTCACAATCAGAGTAACGTCAGTGGCTTATCCAGCAGCAGTGTCAACAGTTCGCATGTATCCAGCTTGCCGGCCAGTCATGTCACCTCGTCATTGCAGACCAGAAGATATCCTGCGCTCACTCGCTCGTCTAGCAGTAACAGCAATAACAACAACAGCAACAGCAACGGCGGCGTTAAGCTGCAGAACAACAGTATCTCATCCAGGACATCGCATCTGATCAGCCTGGCCAATGCTCTACACGCTGCTGCCAATTGTGGCACCAGTTTGTCCACCGCCACGGCCACCACCACGACTACCACGACCAGTTCGCCACCGCCGGTATGCTCCAGTCGAGTGACGACCGCTTCCTCGTCGGCGTCCACGGCACCGCAACCGTCCGTCAGCCAGACGTACTTGTCACCTAGCAACAACAATAGCAGCAACAACAACAACAACGATAATAACAACAACGTTCAGTCGCAGTCCTCTTTGCGCAGCAACGGTCAGAGCAACGTCGCTGTTGTGCCTCCTACCACAAGCAGCTCAGCCAGCGGCAGTGCGTGCATACCGTGTCCTCTCTATCATCATCATCATCACAATCATCATCACCACCATCACGGCCATCGCCTTCACCATCACCACTACCACCACCACCACCACCATTCGAGGGATAAGCCCGGCGTCAGATTCTACTCCTCCTCCTCCTCCTCTTCCTCATCTTCCTCCGCCACCTCCTCTTCTTCCACTTCTTACACGCCCTCCTCGAGCTCTAACCCGGTTCAGGACCAGCAACAGTCTACCTCCAACAGCCACGGCTGCGTTGACCTGAGCACTTACGACGCAACGCCCAGGAAGAAGCTCTGCACCGGTCTCCATCATGGCCAGCAGCAACAACAGCAGCAGCAGCAGCAGCAGCAACAGCAGCAGCAACAATCCGCTACAACGACCAGTGGTATCGACGCTACGAGGAGTCACAACACCGTCATGACGGATGCTGCCGAGTCGAGAGATTCGCAGAACTCTAACTGCACGTCGTTGATGGAGCAGCCAAGCAAACCAGCTACCCTCGACACCCGAGCGCTCGCCGAGGCGTCCCGCAACCTCACGCAGAAACTGAAGCAGCTCTCTTCTGAGGTATTCACCTCGCGGGTCAACCTCGCAGAGGTATACATTATTACCGAAGTCAGTTCCAGTTGTGTACCATTGTTTCGTGTACGAATCGTACGTCACTCGAGGTTGTCAGAGAGAAAGAAATATGTCACGCTCGGATCTGGTTTCTCGACGATATGAAATTCTCGAATATCTAAATTCTGTACCGAAGAATCGGTTTCGCTCGTGTTGTTGGGTTTTCATGTTTACATGTTGCATATCTTTTGTCTCCCAATATCATTGACTATCCAAATTTGACAAAGCAAAAAGAAAACACCAGTGAATCAGCGTGTCGTATTATGTACATATGCAAAAGCAGGAAGATGAAAACAAGCGTTTCGCGACGCGAGGATAAATGCACAAAACTTACGTATCTTTTCAAATTTAGGAAAATGCAAGACGCAGACAGGGAGCTATAATAGAGAGTATGCACCATCATGGCAAAGGTGTGTACTCCGGCACATTCAGCGGCACTTTGAACCCAGCCCTGCAGGACAGACACGGTCGGCCCAAACGTGACATCAGCACTATCATTCATATTTTGAATGACTTGTTGTGCGCGACGCCAGCTGCATCCGCAGGTCACTATAGGCATCACCATCATAGGCATTCACACGGTCGTCAACAGTCCTCATCAGTGTCCACGTCTTCTACGGGAACGTCAACGACCGCAAGTGGATCCACTACGTCGGCCGGTTGCCACGACTCCACCGCACCGGGATACTCCACTGGTTCGTAACTGAACAGAAATACTAATATGTGTACATCTCAGAATACAAGAGTTAAAATTAAGAGTCGTGGCTCTTACACAGCGATTGTTCACAGCCTTCGGTTTCAAAATCGTCCGAACACTTTTTTCCGCCCTCGATATAGTTTGGGGGGCAGCTGATGTTTCAATGAGAGAGACTTTATTTCTGAAAAATGGCCACAAAGCTCTCTTGTTGAACCTCTGCCTTGTTCCAAATTGCATCGAGAAAAGTACTCTAGCCGTTTTCAAATCAAGTGTGTACGATATAAAGTCTGTCCTTTGTAGCTTGTATTTTTTTGTGAGCCATCTTGAAATTTTCTTCATTCTGCTCTCTCTCTCTCTTCCCCACCACCAAGTGTCAAATCTATTGTACGTCTACTTCATTTTAACCGCAGAGAGCGCAGCTTGTTGCAGCTTGAACGAACAGAATTACAATGTAATATCATAATGCGCGATGCACTTAGGCTGATATTGTGATAACACTCGGTCCGCAGAGGAGTTGTCGAAGGAGAACGAGGCGACCAAGGGCAAGATGCGCCGTTTGCGCTTAGTCATGGAACAACGTCGCGCCAAGAGGAAAGCCAGACGACAGGCGCGAGCCGCGCCATACACCACCCAGTGGGCGGCGGTGACACCCGCCGACCCGAACCACGAGCCGAACACATCGACCGCGAGCACCAGCACCACCAGCACCAACAGCGCGGAGCCGCAGAGCGAGCCGGAGCTCCCGCCGTGTAGCCCCGAGCCGGTCGTAGCTTAAACAATTACGTCACCAGTCAATTCTTGACGCAGTAATATCCTCTATTGTAGATACATAGGGTAATTCTCTCATGTTTCTTTTGGTTTTTATTTTCTCTTCTATTTTCTGTCTATCGCACTGATTTATTCCAAAAAAAAAATGCAAGGATAAGGGTCCTATACACATACATACGCATACACCACACATACACACACACACATACATACACGCGCGCGCGAACGTATCACCATCACGGTTTGTTCCATGCGAATTGTTCTTCTGAATCCACGTGTTCTTCTGAGACTAAAAATGCCGCGCGACGTCTCCAACAATCGGTCCAATCCCGGTGCTTCGTCATTATTTCGTGTCTTTCTCTTTCTCTCTTTCTCTGTGCCTCTGTAAACCATTACTGCGGATCTGCGGAGTTTCTCTTCATACGATGCAAGTGTTTCACTTTCTCTGATGTTTACCTTCCGGCGTGTCTCGATGTAATAAACATATACGAGACAGACGGACACTGAAAGATCCGAGGAGGTGCGGTCTTTTCTGTCTCTTTCCTTGAAATTCCCCGACTCGAGATCCGGTTTCTCGTTCGTCGGCGCGATGCACGGCGATGTGACGTACGCGTCACGCGCCGATTCGCCGCCGGTCGTCGTCTGATCAGCGAGACGCGCGGCTGCTCGATCTGACCGAACCGCCGTCAATGACAAGCCGGCGATTTGCCGCAGCGGACTTATCCGGCTGCGGACTCTCAGGACTTTTGATCGTAGCTGACAATAATTGCGAATGAATCAGTGTGACGCCAACGTATCTCTCTATGCACACCGACCACGCAGTGAAAGGGTGGTCGGTGGTGGTGGTGAGTCCTTCAGAGAGCAAGGAGGAGCGGAGGGATCCTGACCGGGAGCGACTTCTTTTCGCCAGGATCGAAACTCGCTGACGAACGCGCGTCTGGCGAGCGAGAACAAAAAGATGCAAGGAAGAGAAGGAATGGGTTCGAAGAAGAAGAAGAAGAAGAAGAAGAAGAGAAGAGAAGAGAAAAATGCGCGGGGCGAAGTCGTACATTGTAACTTCGTCGACCGCTCTGCACGCTCCACACACACACAGCGATAAATAAATAATTCTCTCGCTATCGGGCACTTTTTAACCGATGTCTTATACGAATAGATACGTGTAGATACCTTAATCGTGCGCGTCGTACGAATTGCAAAGTAAGACTGTAAAGACCTCATAAAAGTAATGACACGCCACGCGAGATGGTCTTGCGACTCGCCTTGATGATGAAATTGTGTAGCTTGAACTAAATAGAAAGAAGCCACGATGATCCTCGTGCGTGCGTGCCCACGCGGAACTTGTGCAAGATTTTTCAGTTCGTTCCTTACGGACCGGTTGATCTAAATCATTGTGATCTGTCTTTTCTTCTAAGTTAGTGGCAAGTATACTTTCTGACGTTTTACTTCGCGGCGAGACGTGACAAACGCAAGGTGATTCGATTTGTTAAGCCGCGGGTTACGGAAGGAACAGGCCCGAATATTTCGATCAAAAGCAAAAAGGAAAAAAAGGAGCAAACGCGTGAGCAAAATCGTAAAAGAAAAAAGATAAAATAAAAGGGAGAACGGAAGGAAGTATTTGCAGAGAAAGATTATTTACGCATGTATTATTTTTGCATGTAACTTGTAAGATAATGTGATGCCAGGGCAAAGGCAAACCCGAAGATAGCACGTAGGAGCGAGTGCGTGCGTATCGAAATGGGACGCGAAGCGGATCAATCGGCTCGGAAACGGGATGCTCATATCAAGTCTACTTCTTTCTACTATCCAAGTTTACTTCGCGGAGTGAAGCGTTGCACACGCGAAGTTTCGGCGGTCGCCGAAACCGGGGGTTTCTCGATGAATCGTAAGCGCCGGTCAGGTCATTTTCGGACACTCGACCTTGTTGCCCCTCGGTAGAAGAAATCATGCTACATATTATTCTTCGACGAAGGAAACTATATAGAGAAGGTGGAGGAGGAGGAGGAGGAGGAGGAGGAGGAAGAAGAAGAAGAAGAGGAAAGCTGGAAAGGGGCATGTAAGTTTTGTAGCTGAAGTTAGACGATCGTACTCTCTGCATGGCATCGTATCGTGTACGGCGTCTACGATCCGTTTAAGTTAACTAGGTACTAAATAATACATACACATCCACACACACACACACACACACGGTAGATACACACATACATACACCACGTACATACACACACTAATAGAGAGAGAATACACTGCGTTTAGGTTTTATTTAGGGAAAAAAGAAAAAAATATTATTACCATTATTACATTATTATTATATATAAATATATATATCGTTAGTACAGCTACAATTTTTGCAAAACCGGCTCAACAATGTAATATACGACTACCTTTATCGAACCTTTATCGAGTACCAAAATAAATAAGATTGCTTGCTAAGCTAAGGGATAAAAAATTCATTTCAGTCTTGTTCTTTGGAGTGCGTGATGAGAGATGAGACTTGTGCGTTATATGTGCTTTTGTTATTGCTCTTATCAACGACGCGATTAGTCGGGAGAAAAAGCGAGAGAAAAAGAGAATCGATGTGGAAAGCTTCTCTCCTCGCGTTATAGTCGATAAGGCGCGCAAAGTTTATAAAAGACAAGAGAAAAAAGAAGGAGAAGAAGAAGCAGCAAAAAATAAGGAGCTTCTTCGAAGAAGCACAGTGAATTGGAGAGATTAAAGTTATCTACCGTAAAATTGTTTATTTAAATTATGTCTTAAGTTACGTACAACTGTAGAAACCTATCGACGCTTAAGAGTTTACGCGAATACGCTATCATAGTTTTATCGTACTTCACATCTTTTTGTAGTATACGCCGCACATACCTAAACGACAATACAGCTACTATTGTAGAAAAGAAGAAAGAAAAGGAGAAAAGCTAATATCATTTTGACGAATCAGAGATTTTGGCAGTATCACGAATTATACGCCGCTTTGTCGTTATGAACGTAAAATTCGCAATGCTTTACCCTGGAAGGGAGCACTTCGCAGCTCCGGCATACTAATCGATAAAAATCGCTCTTTCTCTCTCTTTCGGTCCTTATCGGTCCAGAGAGATTAATATGCTAGTCGATGTAAAAAATTGTGATTCGCGCAGCTCGATAACACCGAGGTACATCTTACTCCTTGTTCGTATAGATTGAGCGCTTCTCCTTGCGCCACGAGTATGATTTTCTTCTTTTCGTTGTGTCAAGTAGGAAGGCAAGATATCTAATACTGATAAAAAAAAGCGGATTCCTTCGAAAACCACAGTTTAGCAGCATTTGTCCTCTTTCATTCTCTCTTTCTCTCTCTATCTAATTATCTATCTATCTGTTACTGGTAATTCGACTGCTTGAGGATTCGTCCTTGCGGTTAAGCCTGTACCACGGTAATTGTCGGCTAATGTGAACGACGCGAATTGTATACGCCTTTCTGTGGAAAAAATGTCTCTCAATCGACGTGCGCTCTCTCGCAACGGAGGGCGCGCTTAAAATTAATTGGTTCCATGCTCCCAATCTCAATCGATCACAAAACGGATTACTTTATACAAGGTCTCTCGACGAGCATAATTCAACTATCTAGAAAATTTGGCTATAAGACTGGGTGTATTTCCCTCTATATAATATCTCTTACTCAATACTCAAAATGTGTCCAGCGAACGATGCAAATGTCGTAGAAGAGAAGGGGGTACATTCACACGTTGAAGCTGATATGGACAATTCAAGTGTCGCACATTGTAGTACAGTCAAAGTCCCACGCGATTTTACCGAATGCGTACCGACCACTCTTTTCTTCTCTCTATCTCTCCTTTTCCGTCTGTTTAATATTTAAAAGATCTCCATTTAATTGCATTCTCCGACGTGCATTTTTTTCTCGATCTGTTTTCGCCACAAACGGCAACATTTGATGGATTGTCTTTACGTTCTTTTCTAAATGTACACGGCAACGCGGCGTGTGAATGGAATCGACAAAGATCCCTTCCATTGAACTAAACAGCTCTGCAGACTATTATAAAAAGGAAGATGCTAATAAACTTTCTCATGCTAAATCATCTAAAAAAATTGCACCGAAGATCAAATCGTTCTTGAGCGTGCCCCTCTTCTCTCCCGCAAATGCGTGGCAAGAAGTGGTAAGAAGTTCGCAGGAAGTCTTGGAAGTTTTCGAACACGCACGTATAGAAATAATACGTCGTCGTTTCCTCGCGATAATGCGTGATGCGATATGTACGAACATGTTTCGTTTGTGGGCTTCTCTGATTGATTCTCATCGCGCTTTACTACTTTACTACTCGTCGAAGCGCGCGACCTTGTCTCTCGTGGCTACTTCGCGTTCGGCACATCCGCGCTCTCCTCTCAAACAAGGGATAAAAAATGGACGGGATGAAGCACAGGCGCGATCGCGCCGATTCGCGGAGAAAGGAAAGCGTGTACAAGATGTGTACATATGTCACAAACAACGTTCGTACGTCGCGCACGTCCGCCGGTATACGACACGAGCGGCGCTCGCACCGCTATCGATTAAACTAATTAATAATTAATCTCTGACAAAATCAACAAAGCGTAACGTAAAGTGCGTGCGGCTGCAGCCAGTATCCGAGCGAACGTGCGGTCTTGGTCACGCGTAAAAAATCTCGTTATGGCACGGTGTTGGTGCAACAATGAGAGCTCCCTCTCGTGGTCGAGAATTCGCCAGGTTCTCGCGTCCCTTTTTCACGTCGCGAAGAACGCGTCTCTACGGTTTTGGCAGTTTCGATTTGTCAGCGTAACCGGGCGCAACGCCTCGCGCGTTTAAATCGATCGGTAAACATTGCCTACTGATCATGCTCAGCAGGTTCCTCGCTTAATTGTTCGCCGCTCGATCGGACGTCTCTCGTGAAGGAAGATCGATACCTCGGTAGACGACGTGATATCTATTATTGCACATGAAAAAGTGGCGCGGACTTACTTCGAGTCGCAAGAGCGCACTTGTGAGATTAAAAATAGGATTTTCGAGACTTGAGAAGAGCAAGCTGTAAGTGAATAAAATGCTTCTCATCGACCGCCAGAGACGTCGAAACATTTAATGCTGCAAAATACATAATTTTATTTCCGTTTCCATTTGTCGCCACTCGCAACGCATGGTTTGCGCGCTTCTGAGACGATCTCGACCATTTGGACAGTAGAACGCGAGCTTGACAACTCGTCGAAATCGTTCCACGCGAGTCACAAATCTACTCGCACTACCAGCCGCGTCGAAATATCGATCCCTCTTCTGCCTGAGAGAAACATGTGTGTCGCTATTAAAACTGACGTCCGATCTCTTAATACAAGTTGATCTTCTTCGTGATCGTCTTACGACACATGTGACAGGTCTTCAGCGGTGCGGCGCAGTGCTCGCACGCACCATGTCCGCAAAGGAAGGCGACATTACGGCGACGTTCCATGCAGATGCTGCACATATTCGCTTCCTCGAGATCCGCGACTCTGGTCTCGAGGTAACGCAATCGCTCCAAGTCTTTGTCCTTCTCCTTTTCGCTGATCTCCTCCTTGCGTTTGCCCTCGGGCGAGTTGTCCTCTGGATTAGCTATGGAGACCTCGCCCGCCGCTAGTTGACCGTCTGGAACAACGCATAGAGCTGATAACATTAAGCCTATACGTAATCTCATGTTAACACAAGTACCATAAATCGTTATGTTAAATTACACACACATACCTTGAATCGTTTGCTTCTTGACGATCGTATGGCCGCAATGTGCACAGCCAACGAGCGCGCTATCGGAATCAAATCGGTTCTCTTGCTTCGTGCCGGATACGATCCCCGAACAATCCCGACATTCTGCATCGTCGCCGGCGCCGGGTATGCTCTTTCTCGCGTCGCGCAATCCTTCCGACGGTGACATATTATCTATTCGATACGTAGACGGCTCTATGTAACCGGTTGGCGGATTGTTCTCTATTCTGTAAAACGAATTGTAGAAATCAGTCGATTCCTCTACTGAGAGAAGGAAAAGCACTTGAAGTATATGCTTCGGAGTGTGCTTACGACACGTTCGAAACGAGCTCGAATTGAGCCTCGTGCGCACTTACTCTAATTGTGTGTTGTGATTTTGGTATCGGTAAGATCGTAAAAGATCGGCGAGCTGAGATGCCTGCGGGTCGGCCTCCAGAAGATCGAGCGGCGTCTTCTCCTTGTGATTCTTCGCCGTTTCGAGAAGCGTGCAACTTACGTCTATACTCACCAAGAAACAAGCTAATGCTAATTCAGTCTTTGCACCTTGTCTTGCCAGGGCCTGCCAGATCTGTGCGAGAAAGTTAATTTTAGCAATTAGAAATACTGGTCGAAAGAAAGGACTAGAGAGAGGATTTTGTCTAAAACAGCAAGAACGATCGTCTGTGCATCGAACTGCACCTCGATCGATTAGATATCGCAGTCGATGGGAAGCTAAAAGATTGCGTCGTACCGCGTATATAAGCGGCGAATCTCGGCTGCTCTCAGTTGTGGGCACGATGGTCTGTTGATTCGGGCTCTTGGCGATTGCAATGTGCAGCACAGTGTCACCGTCTTCGTCCGCACAGGCGATATTCGCGTTGTGATGCACCAACAGCTCGACGAGAGACCAATGCCCCTGTGAAGTCGCCAGATGCAGTGGGGTCTGCTGCCGATTGTTGCGCAGGTCGACCGTAGCGCGGCCGCCGTTCTGCGACAGGAGTATCGCCGCGACTTCCCTATGACCGTTCAACGCTGCCAAGTGCAACGCTGCGAAGCCATCGTCCTTCTTCACGTCCACCAGGTTCCGTGCACGCGCCACCAACTTCTCCGTTGCGCTGCGGATTTATGCGAATTCGTGTCAAGCTGAATTCTAGCCGTGATCAAGTCTCTGACAGGGGATGGATCTTTTAGAAGATTTGAAAAGAGGAGAACGTTTGGGTAGCTTGAGACAAGTAATTTTAAATTACTGCTTGAAATGATGTCAGCGATTGCGTTGGAAAAATTCTTAGCAAACTTTTTTCAACAGACACTATGGCTAATTAAAACATTACCAGATGAAATCCGAAGACTGACTAATTAATGAACTTGACTGGGACTACTTTTGAGACACGTACTGAGCGTTGCCTTTGAGTGCGGCATGATGCAGCACGTTGAAACCGCGTTTGTTCCGCAGCTTGAAATCCACTCTCTCGCAGGCACACAGCGCGTCAATTATGTCGAGCGCGTCTTTCCCAATCGCGTCGTGCAACGCCGTGTCACCGTAAGAGTCCTGCAGATTGATGTCGCAGTGATAACGTAACAACATCTTGACGCACTGTGCATGCTGTTTGTTCACTGCCACGTGCAAGGCACTACATCTGCCATTGTTAACGGCGTTGATAGTCGCTCCCCGGGATAGCAACAGTTCCATCACCTCCGGTTGATTGCTAAGCGAACAGAGAAGAAAAGTTTCGGTATAATTGATCCGTAAAGCGCGTATTAGAGTCTTCAATATTAAAAAAAAATCATTTAGGAGTTCGTTAAACTGCCAGTTTTCCCTTTGCGAATCGCAAAGATCGCAAAGACAAGCATGTAGTTGTTTGTCACTGTTTCTATGTCTCGAATTAATGACAGTCGTTGCTCTAAAAATTTAATAAGAGGATCAACCGCTCAGCACATTCGACTGTAGAATTGATTAAACATGTCACGATAATAATCTCGATATTAACTACGTGAACATTGAATACAGTTTTTTCGGAAGCAAACTTAGGCGCAAAAAAGAATGGCACAGAGCGACATCAAATTGGTGGCTGGTTGTTAGATGACCCATTATTATAACGTTATAATTAGACTATTTATATGTACACTTTCTTTGTTAAATTCCTTTGTATTATTTTACACAAATACACACACATTTTGCTTGTATGTCAGTATGTCAATTATTGTTAAGTAAGACTCCCACGCATTTGCCGCTCTTTTCTACGTTAGGATTTGATCTCGATATACCCAAATGCTGCATAATGTAACGGCGTATCCCCATCCTCGTCCACCGCCCGTAAGGAGGCACCAACGTCCAGCAGGAGGTTGCAGAGATCGCGTTGGCCTTGGTGCGCGGCTACCTGCAAACACGTTTTTTTGCCGCCGCCGGGAGCACGCGCGTCCACCCTGCCCGGATACTTCTTCAAGAATTCACGCACAGCGGCCACACCAGCCTCACCTCTAGCTGCATCCCTCAACAATTTCTCCACTTCGCTGTCGGTACCATCAGCTGCACGAACGATATCAGACAGTTGTGAAAGGAGCTCTTGTTATTGTTAAAATAATTTTTCACAACAAATAAGCCTTTTACAAATTCTCACGACGCGATTGTTGAATCGTGAAATCATCGAGAACGGCTGTGATCAATTCCTTTCTGTCAACTTTTACTGCTGTAATAATTATAATCTCTATAATTTCGTGAATTTCTTTGTTTTGGAAAGTTATGTGCAAATCGATACTAAACATGAGAAATTTGTTAATATTAATTTGAAGTTAACGAGAGAAGCGACGCAATTTAACTTCCGAGAGGCTTGCACCACGCTCTCATCTTGTAAGGACGATCTCATCTACAACGACAGTAAACATACCTGAGCGATCTCTAATTATGTTGGCATCGTAGTGCGTAGCAGCAGCCACGTTCGTCCCGGCAGGGACGAGGACGACACTCAGCGGATTAAACGTCCACGTGTGACTGTCCAACGCCACACGCAAGTCACCGTCGGCATAGATCTTCATTACTTTTCCGGTTTTTCCCAGCGCCTGCGAACGTATAAGATCGATTTCACACGCACGTTATTGCGCCGTGGCGTTAATAAAACGCGAGATAAAAGGCGGCAAACCAACATTTTTCATCACGTCTATCCACTCGCCGTGACCGCGTTGGTAATGCTTGATGGCAGTCAGATCGCTCTTCACTCTGACCACATCACCAACGACGAACGCGTCCTTACTGGTAACTTTCGTCAAAGCACCCGGATGGAAGGTCCATCTATTATTACAGCCTTCATATTGCACGCGAATGTCTCCTTTGTCTGTAATTCGGTGCACCGTGCCAATCTAGATGTTCGATTAGAAAGTCTCGTTACGCAACAAATATATTAGCCACACACATACATATATTAATCATATTAATTCCATCCCGACAAAGTTACATTCAGCTTAACCAAAGCTTAAGCTTCCCTCGTTTCCTCGCGCGTTCCGGAGATGGGAAGGCGAGTTTCGAGGAATCGACGAGACTTGAGTTACAAGCGAGAAACGAAAGTGACATTCGCGAAATACCTTTCCTATGCATTCGGCCATTCGCGGATTCCACCCGCCATGGCCGGAATCCTGCATCTCCTTTAGCATCTCAACTTCGAGCAGCACTTTCACCCTGTCACCGACATTGAACGTTAGATGGTGCGGACTAGACGTAGCATTGGTGACACCGCCGTTCTTGGCCGTTGTCGAGTTGTTCCCGTTGTCCGGAATAGTCATTACCGGCTGGCCGAGTAGCGGGAGATGCTCCCTGTAATAAGTACCGGACTTGGCTTCCTCCACGTAGCACAAGTCCACACAACCCTTGTAGCCCAATCGATACACATTCGTGCTGCCCGTAGACCATGTGACTGTGGCAACGGACCGACAACTCTCATTGTCCCATCCTCGTATATCCATGACCCTGCCTGTTTTCCCTGAAACATCCGGGAAATCCGGATCGGTAAGTTCTTGCGCAACTAATTTACATCGGCTCGAGTCAGTGACGTAAAGGCTATTAAGTCTGAATAAATGTGTTTGTTTAGAGCTCGTATCAAACTATATCAGGTGCTATAGATCGAGGATCGCGGATCGAAAATTGAAACTCAACCAAGATTAATTGCTCGTGATAAAACGAGTCAAGGTCAAAATTAGCTGACTAGCGTCGAATCCTCATTTCTAAACCGCAACCTTCGATCTCCAATACCTAGTTTGATAAAGACTTAAAAACGTCATCTCATACAGTTGTTAAACTTCAATTATTCATTACATGTAATACATACCACGGCCTCCGTCTTGATTTCCCCACTCCCAATCCGGACCACGAATGACCTTTGCCCCTATGAAGATTCCCTTTAACGGCATCTTGGTACAGCCTTCTCTTGGTGTTAATTGAACCCTGTGTCAATTGGATACCGTGAACACGATCGTAAAATTTCATATTCAGACTTATTCAGACAATACTCTCAATACAATGGAAACTTGCAAAAAAACTGTAAATACTAACCCCACGGCATTAGCTGTTTGAAACCGCTTAAACGTATGCGTCAAGTCATGCACGTCGCCCATGTAGCACTGTGTGCAGAGATCATAATCAAAGCACTGCGAGCACTTCCACCTGATGCCGCTTATCCCGTGCCTTTTGCATCCATCACAGATGATATTGGAGTGCTTGATGCCAGCGGATGCATTATCAAATACCAGTAGATCATAAGCACCTTGATATCCAATTCTGTAATTACTTCTGGAGCCATGGTCCCATTGGACGATTACCGTCTTATCCGGCGTCCGATCAGCAGGATTTGGACTAGAAGCCGAGTTTCCTGTAAATGGAGGCTTCCCAATCTCCACTACTGTCCCAGCATGTCCTTCGCCGCCATCCTGATCATCCCACTTCCAATCTGGACCACGAACAACTCTTAGACCAACTTCTAACATCTTCAAGCGTATAAAATTTGGCTTCTAATCCTGCAAAGAAAAATAGTATGTAAATTAATCATATCCAAACAAAATATACATACACAGATACACATATTGTGTATAAATTGCATATTAGAATCTGTCCAGCAGAGGATGGATTCTATATAAATTGTTACAAAATCTTTTTCTTATACATTAGTCTTATTAATACTATATTACATAAAAAATAAAGGAACCAAACAGTTTAAAATTTAACTGTTTAAAAGGCAGTTTAAAACAATTAGAGAATATTTCTTCAAACATATACATCATTCGGATAGTTCAATATAACCTGTTTTAGACAATATGATTTTTATAGTAGAATTTCTTCTTATTACACTGTCAAAATATAATATTGATATGATAATAATCTCATAATTGTAATAAAAAATAATTTGTTCTTTCTTGAAGAACTCCTTGAACCGATGTGCACTTATGCAGTAAGTTGGAATAAAACAAGGTATACTTGGCTCATTCTAACTTATTGCATCATTGTGTGTTAGTTCAGAAAGTTCTTCAAAAAAAAGCAAATTTAAGAATATTAATTATTCTTGAGGCATATCTATAATATATTGTATAAAATCAGTATGTCTTTCAAGCATGCGGTAGCCATTCATGAAAATATTTGGCAAAAAAAATCACAATATCCTGCTTTAAAAGTTGTAGGATATATAAAATGTTCTGATCAACCAAAATACACAATATGATAATTAATTACTCTACATAATATTGTCTATAAAAATTGGCTATACATTGTATAACTATAGAAGTTTCAAAAACAGTACATAGATTCAGTCCTCAACATCAAGATACCTTATACCACATTTTGAGGCAGCTATTGAGTTTCCTCAAAACTTGTTGCAAGCTAACATTTATACAGTATTTACTTCGAACTCAGCAATTTGAATATTCTGATTTCCTTCTCGTTTTCCTCATAGCCAGTGCACTCAGTTATCTAACGTATAACTCGCTCCTAAATTCACCTCCAATGTAGTCTTCGGACAGAGCGAGCGTTCTCGGTGAAAACGCACTTACGCGCCACGCACATACCTGATACAAGCTCGAGCTCGGTCCTACGAGCACGGTCCCTATGAATCATATGCAGCGGAGCGGCGGCGCGGCCGACGTAGCCGATAATCCGTGAGATCGTATCTGGCGAATACTGCCGTGGCTGGTGGTGGCGAGACGCGTGCGGTAGTTGGAAACGGTCCGTGGGGAAAAGCCGACATTACGCAGCATCATTGCCGTAGAATTACGCACGCTCCATCGCCGGCACGACGATGAAGAACTGCGTAGGTAGTGGTGGTAATGTCAGTGGTGACGAGGATAGTGGTGGTGGTGACGATAGTGATAGGGTCCTTACGTCTTCACTGCTGATGACAGTCGACCTTACAAATGCATCCCACTAGTAACATCTCCATCAGTCGACAACGTTGATTTGATCATCGACACGACGCGGCATCGGTCTGCCGTGAAGCTGTATTATTTGACAATAGAAAAGTTTTCTGACTTGTTAGTACTACTTGAAGATAAAGACTCTGATCTGTCGTTAAATTGCACTGTTTGAAAATAAAAAGGCGGTAGCTCTTGTTAAGTCGTACTACTTGAATATAAAAAGGCGTTATTCATCGTTGAGTCATACTACTTGGGAATAAATTTGAGCTCTGCGGGATGGCTGTTTTTCTGAAACGTAGTTCCGAAGTCTACGCTACAAGTCGCTATTGTTTTTACCGACAAATTGAGATAGTAGCACCAGAGAAGAAGCTAAGAGCGGCCAACACGACGTTTTCGGCGGCACCGATTTTTCGCACTGGAAATGGGCGCCATCTGCATCTATTTTGAGAAAAGAACTACGATGCTACATCCACTTTTAGGTCTTGGTGGTAAAATCTACATGTGGTGGAAGTCCGTGCTACATCCACTTTCAGGCGGTTTATATCCGTGCTGCAACCATAGTTACTACAGAGAGAAGCCTGAGAGCGGGCATGGCTACATTTACAGCGTTATGGAAAAGTTGGCTGATTCGAAGCGTCAACTGGGTCCATTTTTCATGGACATGAACTACTAAGCCAATGTCCACGATTTGTTGATACTATGTCGTGTTTGTACCCATTTGTACCACTTTGCATTACGTTTGTACCTCGACCGCTTCGGAAATACAGCATTTTAAAATTTTCCAAATAACGCTAAAATAATGCTTCTACTATTTTTTAGATATATTAAAACGGACAACGGGGTTCGATAGAGAATCATTTGTACCCGTTTGCACCACTTTGCATTTCGTTTGTACCTCAACCGTTTCGGAAATACAGCAATTTCCAATTTCTGTCATATAACGCTAAAATGGTACCTCCGCTATTTTTTAAGATATCTTAAAACGGACAACGGGGTTCGATAGAGAATCGTTTGCACCCGCTTGTACCACTTTGCATTTCGTTTGTACCTCAACCGTTTCGGAAATACCGCAATTTTCAATTTCTGTCATTAACCCTAAAATAGTACTTCCGCCATTTTTTTAAGATGTCTTAAAACGGACAACGGGGTTCAATAGAGAATCGTTTGTACCCTTTTGTACCCACTTTGCATTTCGTTTGTACATCAACCGTTTTGGAAATACAGCAATTTTCAATTTCTATCATATAACGCTAAAATGGAACTTTCGCTATTTTTTAAGATATCTTAAAACGGACAACGCGGTTCGATAGACAATCGTTTGTACCCGTTTGTACCACTTTGCATTTCGTTTGTACATCAACCGTTTTGGAAATACAGCAATTTTCAATTTCTATCATATAACGCTAAAATGGAACTTTCGCTATTTTTTAAGATATCTTAAAACGGACAACGCGGTTCGATAGAGAATCGTTTGTACCCGTTTGTACCACTTTGCATTTCGTTTGTAACTCAACCATTTCGGAAATAAAGCAATTTTCAATTATTGTCATATAACCCTAAAATGGTACTTCCGCCATTTTTTAAGATATCTTAAAACGCACAACGGGGTTCGATAGAGAATCGTTTGCACCATTTTGTACCACTTTGCATTTCGTACAGCATCTTTTGTACCCGTTTGTATCTCCTTTCAAATCGTTTGTACCTCGAAGGAGGTACAGAATTGTTTAATATCCGGGATATGTATAATATGATAAAGTTTTCAATTTTAAAGATATCTGAAAACGGCCCACGCCGTTTGAAAGAACATTGTTTGTACTCATTTGTACCTCCTTTCAAATCGTTTGTACTTCAAAGGGCTCGGAAATACAGGCTTCTCAAAATACGCGCTGAATGTATTTCCGCCATTTTTCAAGGTATCTGAAAACGACATATGCCATTCGAAAGAGCATCGTTTGTACCCGTTTGTACCTCCTTTCAAATCGATTGTACCTTAAAGGGCTCGGAAATATAGGCTTTTCAAAATATGTACTGAAGTACTTCCGCCATTTTTCAAGATATCTGAAAACGGCCAACGCCATTTGAAAGATCCTAACCGTTTAGGATATATCGAAGGTTAAAGTTTTCCAACATTTCTCCGTCGATATCTCCGCTTCTACTGGGAATAGAGAGTCGTCAATGCAGTCGAAAATGTAGGGTTTTGAGAGGACTTTATTTTGGTGCTAGAAACAGGCCTGTATCTCTAACCGTTTAGGAGATATCGAAGGTTAAAGTTTTCCAGACTTTCTCCGTCGATGTCTCCGCTTCTACTGGAAGTAGAGAGTCGTCATTTACGGCAAAATGTAGGGTTTTGAGAGGACTTTATTTTGGTGCCAGAAACAGGCCTGTATCTCTAACCATTTAGGAGATATCGAAGGTTAAAGTTTTCCAACATTCCTCCGTCGATATCTCCGCTTCTACTGGGAGTAGAGAGTCGTCAATGCAGTCGAAAATGTAGGGTTTTGAGAGGACATTATTTTGGTGCCAGAACCAGGCCTGTATCTCTAACCGTTTAGGAGATATCGAAGGTTAAAGTTTTCCAACATTTCTCCGTTGATATCACCGCTTCTACTGGGAGTAGAGAGTCGTCAATGCAGTCGAAAATGTAGAGTTTTGAGAGGACATTAATTTGGTGCCAGACCGAGGCCTGTATATCTAACCGTTTAGGAGTTATCGAAGGTTAAAGTTTTCCAACATTTCTCCGTCGATATCTCCGCTTCTACTGGGAGTAGAGAGTCGTCAATGCAGTCGAAAATGTAGGGTTTTGAGAGGACATTATTTTGGTGCCAGAACCAGGCCTGTATCTCTAACCGTTTAGGAGATATCGAAGGTTAAAGTTTTCCAACATTTCTCCGTTGATATCTCCGCTTCTACTGGGAGTAGAGAGTCGTCAATGCAGTCGAAAATGTAGAGTTTTGAGAGGATTTTAATTTGGTGCCAGACCGAGGCCTGTATCTCTAACCGCTTAGGAGATATCGAAGGTTAAAGTTTTCCAGCATTTCTCCGTTGATATCCAGCCTTCCTCCGTCGATATCTCCGCTTCTACTGGGAGTAGGGAGTCGTCCGTGTAGTCGAAAATGTAGGGTTTTGAGAGGACTTTAATTTGGTACCAGAGCCAGGCCTGTATCTCTAACCGTTTCGGAGATATCGAAGATTAAAGTTTTCCAACCTTTCTCCGTTGATATCTCCGCTTCTACTGGGAGTAGAGAGTCGCCATTTACGGCAAAATATAGGGTTTTGAAAGGACTTTAATTTGGTACCAGGCCTGTATCTCTAACCGTTTAGGAGATATCGAAGTTTAAAGTTTTCCAGCCTTTCTCCGCCGATATCCAGCCTTCCTCCGTCGATATCTCCGCTTCTCCTGGGAGTAGAGAGTCGTCCATGTAGTCGAAAATGTAGGGTTTTGAAATGTAGGGTTTTGAAAGGACTTTAATTTGGTGCCAGAACCAGGCCTGTATCTCTAACCGTTTAGGAGATATCGAAGGTTAAAGTTTTCCAACCTTTCTGCGTTGATATCTCCGCTTCTACTGGGAGTAGAGAGTCGCCACTTACGGCAAAATGTAGGGTTTCGAGAGGTCTTTAATTTGGTGCCAGAACCAGGCCTGTATCTCTAACCGTTTAGGAGATATCGAAGGTTAAAGTTTTCCAACCTTTCTGCGTTGATATCTCCGCTTCTACTGGGAGTAGAGAGTCGCCACTTAGGGCAAAATGTAGGGTTTTGAGAGGACTTTAATTTGGTGCCAGAAACATGCCTGTATCTCTAAACATTTAGGAGATATCGAAGTTTAAAGATTTCCAGCCTTTCTCCGTCGATATCCAGCCTTCCTCCGTCGATATCTCCGCTTCTGCTGGGAGTAGAGAGTCGTAGAGAGTCGTCCATGTAGTCGAAAATGTAGGGTTTTGAAATGTAGGGTTTTGAAAGGACTTTAATTTGGTGCCAGAACCAGGCCTGTATCTCTAACCGCTTAGGAGATATCGAAGGTTAAAGTTTTCCAACCTTACTCCGTCGATATCCAGCCTTCATCCGTCGATATCTCCGCTTCTACTGGGAGTAGAGAGTCGTCAATGCAGTCGAAAATGTAGGGTTTTGAGAGGACATTATTTTGGTGCCAGAACCAGGCCTGTATCTCTAACCGTTTAGGAGATATCGAAGGTTAAAGTTTTCCAACATTTCTCCGTTGATATCTCCGCTTCTACTGGGAGTAGAGAGTCGTCAATGTAGTCGAAAATGTAGAGTTTTGAGAGGACATTAATTTGGTGCCAGACCGAGGCCTGTATATCTAACCGTTTAGGAGTTATCGAAGGTTAAAGTTTTCCAACATTTCTCCGTCGATATCTCCGCTTCTACTGGGAGTAGAGAGTCGTCAATGCAGTCAAAAATGTAGGGTTTTGAGAGGACATTATTTTGGTGCCAGAACCAGGCCTGTATCTCTAACCGTTTAGGAGATATCGAAGGTTAAAGTTTTCCAACATTTCTCCGTTGATATCTCCGCTTCTACTGGGAGTAGAGAGTCGTCAATGTAGTCGAAAATGTAGAGTTTTGAGAGGACATTAATTTGGTGCCAGACCGAGGCCTGTATATCTAACCGTTTAGGAGTTATCGAAGGTTAAAGTTTTCCAACATTTCTCCGTCGATATCTCCGCTTCTACTGGGAGTAGAGAGTCGTCAATGCAGTCAAAAATGTAGGGTTTTGAGAGGACATTATTTTGGTGCCAGAACCAGGCCTGTATCTCTAACCGTTTAGGAGATATCGAAGGTTAAAGTTTTCCAACATTTCTCCGTTGATATCTCCGCTTCTACTGGGAGTAGAGAGTCGTCAATGCAGTCGAAAATGTAGAGTTTTGAGAGGACTTTAATTTGGTGCCAGACCGAGGCCTGTATCTCTAACCGCTTAGGAGATATCGAAGGTTAAAGTTTTCCAGCATTTCTCCGTTGATATCCAGCCTTCCTCCGTCGATATCTCCGCTTCTACTGGGAGTAGGGAGTCGTCCGTGTAGTCGAAAATGTAGGGTTTTGAGAGGACTTTAATTTGGTACCAGAGCCAGGCCTGTATCTCTAACCGTTTAGGAGATATCGAAGATTAAAGTTTTCCAACCTTTCTCCGTTGATATCTCCGCTTCTACTGGGAGTAGAGAGTCGCCATTTACGGCAAAATATAGGGTTTTGAAAGGACTTTAATTTGGTACCAGGCCTGTATCTCTAACCGTTTAGGAGATATCGAAGTTTAAAGTTTTCCAGCCTTTCTCCGCCGATATCCAGCCTTCCTCCGTCGATATCTCAGCTTCTCCTGGGAGTAGAGAGTCGTCCATGTAGTCGAAAATGTAGGGTTTTGAAATGTAGGGTTTTGAAAGGACTTTAA